TGCCAAACTAAGTTAATCTGCAAGCTGTCCTTAAGAAAATGCCTATTTTAAAAACAGTAATGTAGGCCCTAGTGTAGCAAAATACTTTAAATATCAAATATTTATATGATATCAAATATATGATATCAAATAGCTGAGTAAATAAAGTCTTTGCAGCCGGTAGGACTATTCCGTTTGTTGAGTTCAGGACAGCTTTAAGAATGCTCTTCCAACTTGAATCTAAAACCACTTCTATGTACTTCTAGGCATATATAATGATACCAATATCAGCTTGCAAAAGCATTTTGGACATTTATTAATACTGTCTGTTTTAAATATGGAACATTGAAAAGGCCTTTGGAATTACTTTTTTTAGAAAGAGACAATTTCAGTCCTTGTATAATTACAGATTTTTTTTTTCCTCCTGTTTTATGCACTTAATGTCAGCCTAAGTGGAATTTTATGTGACTGATAATAAACAGTGCTTCATATGCAGTCCTCTGTGAAATTGTGGTTTGCAGCCTATTATGAACTTCATACAAGGCTTTGCCAATTCCGCTTTTAACTAGAAACAATTTTTAGAATGTGCCAATGTAAAACCAACCTTCCCCGAAGGCAGGCTTTTCTTCCCCTTTCCAGACTTATTTTACTAGGACTATAATGAGAGATTCTCTCCTAATATCAAACTTAGCTAAAAAAGAAGAGTAAAATTGCTCAGAGTAAGTGGATAAAATGATCACTTGAATTAATCATGTTATTTGACAGAAAAATCCAGGCCTGTTTACTACTGATCTGGTTCAGTGCACATGACATTCAGTAAGAGGATCTCGCTTTATCTGTGGGCTTCATGTTAATATTTTCTTGTTGCTGAAAGGAGATGCCATCATTTATGATTCCAAAAACGTTATTTTTAGGTAGAAATAGATTAAAATTGTGAGGGTGGTGAGGCACTGGAATAGGTTGCCCAAGGAAGCTGTGAATGCTCCATCCCTGGCGGTGTTCAAGGCCAGGTTGGACAGAGCCTTGGGCGACATGGTTAAGTGTGTGGTGTCCCTGCTTATGGCAGGGGGGTTGGAACTAGATGATCTTAAGGTCCTTTCCAACCCTAACTATTCTATGAAAATTAGGCTAAAGGTTCCTGTTAGGTTTGCTATTGGGAACGCTTGTCATGCTTCTTTATAAGATTGATTGAAGGTGACGTGATTGAAAGGTAACTTGCAGACATTTTATAGTTTAATGCAAAGAATTTTGAAGAAACAAGTTAACCTTGAAACTTACATTGCTAATAATGCCATTTATTATCATTAGAAATTCCAGAGGACTTGGTTGGCTTTCTGATTGTCGCCTTAGAAATCTTCAAGCACTTTGGCTGCTGCTTCTGCTGATGTTGCATAAAATGAAGTATTAAACTTTTTTCTAGAAGTTGAGTTAAAATTCCAAGCTACAGATTTCCACTGTCTGTAAGGGAATAACTTTTTTAATTTTTAAAAATAAATTAGTATAACAACTCTGAGTTAAGTCAGCAGATACTTTTTCATTGAACTGCCAGATGTGAGGAACAATTGTTCTTTGCAGTTGTCTTTAGTATTTAGTGACCACCTATTGTTAAGGTACACTGTCTTTGCAAAACTTTACTTAAGGGAATCTCAATACCTACAAAGTAAATATTTATTTTTAACTGTTCCCAGTCAGCAGCCAGTCTGCCACAGAATGTTGTGGATGCTATCAATGATGGAAGATTCTGTAGAAGTCTATTAATACTTGATGTACTGCTTGTTTGTACCATGAAATGGAACAAAAGTAGATTTTGCTGAAGCATCAAGGTGTTTCCTAGTCTTACAGCAAAAAAAGATAAAATACATATTCATGCAGCACACTGAAGATGTAGTACTGTCACTTCAATGTTGTGTTTTTGTTTCAAAAGCATTGAGAATTATGAATCTAATGTTGGTATTTAAACAGGAGGCATGGAAATTAAAAAAAATACCTTTTACTAACAGCACATATGTAATCTCCAATGTAATGAAGTACAGAAATTGACCTAGATGTGTATGTATGATTTTCCTTCACAGATAATTCGAAAAGTAGATAAACAAACAGCGTTATTGGATGCAGATGATCCAGTATCGCAGCTCCATAAATGTGCATTTTACCTTAAAGACACTGAGAGAATGTATTTGTGCCTTTCCCAAGAGAGAATAATCCAATTTCAAGTGAGTTATTTAAAACGGGGTTGAGCTTGAGCTTGGAAAGATCTGTAGTTCCTATCCTTGTTACACATTTCCCTTGCAAGCTGTTTTCAGTGCTTTTTTACATGATCATAGCAAAATGAAGAGTCCACATGAGAATACAGCTTTCATCTTAACTTCTTTTCGTCTAAACTGGTAAATTCATGCTAGTTGAAGTTTATCTGACATTTTGAAGAGTGAAGGTTATGGTTACTTCTGTAGATATCCTTAAAGCTTAATGGAAGAAAACAGAGTTTAGGTATTTAAAGTTAGAATTTTTGAGTCCCATTTTTTTTCTGTACCTGTGTTTAACCTATACGTAATTTTCTTACTGGTTGCTAGATGCTGGAATTAGTCAGAGAGGTATTTGTTGCTACAAAAAATAGTCGTCAGTGTACTTTCTATGTATGCGTGTATACTAATTCAGTACTGTTTACAGGGAAACAGTGAAAGTTTGACTAATTTGCAGGATTGTCAGTTCAGCTTCTCTCCCATGTCTGCATAGACACTGAAATACGAATCTGTGATTCTATAAGCTTGTGTTTTCTGTCATTTTGTGGGTGGAGAAGAACTCTCTAAAAAGAAAAACAAAATGTTGGCCTTATGTAAGTCATTGCTAATGAAAAGTATTATACTTCAGTCTGTAGGTGTTTTAGTCACTTTGCATTATTAAAACAAGATCTATTTTAAATAGCTTCTAGTTGGTGTAGTTTGTTGGATATTAGCTGTTGAATAATACTAAAACTTTGAAAGCTGAACTGAAATAAAACCCAATAATAAACAGAAGGTTGGAAAGTGACAGTATCATAGGTGAGAGTTACAGCGTTTTCACGAGCTTTAGTTTTCTACTACTTTTGCTGAAATGTATGTGACTGTTTCTTTAGGTCATTTGGTTACAAAGAAATGTATAAGGAAACATGTCTTTGAAATAGACATTGTTACTGGCTTAGTTGTTTTTTAGCTCTGTGACTTAGCAAATGAGTCTACAGGTCAGATTGAAAACTTTTCTTTCTTTCTAAGGCCACTCCATGCCCAAAAGAACCAAATAAAGAAATGATTAATGATGGAGCTTCTTGGACAATCATTAGCACAGATAAAGCAGAATACACATTTTATGAGGGGATGGGACCAGTCCATGCTCCTGTGACACCTGTGCCTGTTGTAGAAAGTCTTCAAGTAAGTTAATTTTATTTTTATTTTGTTTTAATAAACTCTCTTATGTGAGATTATTTTTGTCATGCAGATTTAACCTTCATGGTACCATTGTGGAATACTGTAGGAAAGCATTCTTACTTGCTTTATAAATAGGAAATTTACTTTATATTGTAACAATTTTTCTTACTTATGTTTCAGAATACATGAGCCTATCCATCTTAGGAATAATATTGTTCTATACATTAAGACTTTTATTTCTTAAAGTACTATGATATTAATATCCTTAGGACTTCTACTTCTGTTTGATTATTTAGAAATCGATTTTGGCTCTTGAACCAGCCAACCATAGATCAAAGAGAGCCAGACAGATGCCGTATTAAGAAAATCAGCATTCTGCTGTGGAAAAACTTGAAGCTCTCCTAACACGTTCTCCGAAAGATTCTTTGTTCTTTGTTTTCAAAGCCTTATTGACTCCTGTTCTGAGTAGCCACTATCAAAACTTCCACTTGGAAGTGGATATCAAATTAATTGGCAGTATCTTTTAGATGCATTATTTCTTTACAGTTCAGTTGCATAGGTAGTTCTTTCAGTTTTATCCAGCTGATAAAACCAGCACTGTTTACAGCTCTCATATGCATGTGAAAAATTTTTTCTTGTTTGTTTTGGTTTTTTCCTCAGAGAGGGGTGTATATTTTTATTAATAGTTTTTTACAGTGGATTTTCTTTTTTTCTTTTTTTTTTTTTTTTCCCCCTATTCACTTCCTTTCAGTTGAATGGTGGTGGGGATGTAGCAATGTTGGAACTTACAGGACAGAACTTCACTCCAAATTTACGTGTCTGGTTTGGGGATGTGGAAGCAGAAACCATGTACAGGTACAGTATTTCCTACTACTTTTATGGTGATTACATTTTACCGGATGCTTTGAAGAACGTATATTCGTGTGTACATACTGTGAAGTGTATACTTTGTGCCCTGCAGAGAGGGATCTGGGAGTGCTGGTTGACAGCAGGCTCAGTATGAGTCAGCAGTGTGCCCTGGCAGCCAAGAGGGCAAACTGCATCTAGCTGGTCAGTAAAGGTGATTATTCCACTGTATTTAGCACTGGTGCAGCTTCACCTTGAGCGCTGTGTGCAGTTGTTGGCCCCACAGTTTAAGAAGGATATGGAGATACTTAAATGTGTCCAGAGGAGGGCAACAAAGCTGGTAGGATATAGGCTGGAAGGAGTGTCCTATGCGGAGCAGGTAAGGACTCTGGGCTTGTCTGGTTTGGTGAAAAGGAGGCTGAGGGGTGACCTTCTTGCTCTCTACAGCTTCCTGAGGAAGGAAGGTGGAGACAGAGGTGCTGAGATTTTCTGTGCCAGGATGCGTGAGAGTGGTTCAAAGCTGTGTCAGTGGAGGTTTAGACTGGACTTTAGGAAACATTTCTCTACTGAGAAGGCAGTCAAACACTGGAACAGGCTTCCTAGAAAGGTGGTTGATTCCCCAAGCCTGTCAGTGTTTGAGGCATTTGAAAAACACTTTTATAATATGCTGTAACTTCTGGTCAGCCCTGAAGTGGTCAGGCAGTTGGACTAGAAGATCTGTTGTAAGACCCATCCAACTGAACTATTCTGATCTGTTCTATTCTCTAAGCTTAAGTTTTATTGTGCTCAGTTGACTCTTCTGTTTTTCAGGTGCGCAGAGAGCATGCTGTGTGTTGTTCCAGACATTTCTGCATTTCGAGAGGGTTGGAGGTGGGTCCGTCAGCCAGTCCAGGTTCCAGTAACTTTGGTCCGTAACGATGGCATAATTTACTCCACCAGCCTTACCTTTACATACACACCGGAACCAGGGCCACGACCACACTGCAGTGCTGCTGGAGCAATCCTCAGAGCCAACTCAAGCCTCATGGCTTCCAGTGAAACAAATACAAACAGCGAGGGAAGTTACACAAATGTCAGCACAAATCCAACCAATGTCACATCATCTACAGCAACTGTAGTTTCCTAACTACTGTTGTTTGTCTGGACTTTAACTGACTTTTGAGTGCTACATTCAAGAGAACTGAACAATTTTTGTGGTTTCATGGGAAAACACCTTTCCAGTTTAGGTGATATTATTTGAACCTTGTTACCCACAAGTGCTGAGCTTAAATATAGAAGCCACAATAAAAAAAAAAAACCAACCATCACCCCAACATCCGAAACATAAGAACTTTATTGAAAATCTATTTTTCAGCTGTTTTTTTTTAATGGGCAAGAAACAAAAAATGTGGCTGGGATACATGTTGAGCAAACTAGAAAACATGAACACAACATAGTTTTTATGGACCAAGGAACTTGTATAAGCTTTAGTATAAAAGGTACATTTTCACCATACCTTTTTTGTATCACAACATATAGTACACTTTTGTTACCAAATAGTTTATATTTTTTTTTTCCTCTGAGCTTTTGCTCTGAAGTATATTCAGGTTCCAAGCCTGACCATGCTTGTATAATCTAATTACCATACTCTTCCAGTTTTAAAAAAATATATATATTTTTGGTCTGTGGCTGGAACTGTTCCTTTTTTTAAACTGAAGTCTTGTGACTTTTTATGGACTGAAATTGTTTTTATTTCAGCAAGTAGAACCTTGTAAAGGCCAGCATATTTTTTTTAAGATTATATGAAGTCTGTGCAAAAGCTTTAAAAAATGCCTCTGCCTTGCCTGCAATACATGCAATGTATGTTAACTTTAGTGCTCTGTTTTCAGTCATTGTTAATAGTTATTTCTGTTTTCCTTTTTTAAATATGTATTTATAGTGATAATTCATGAGGTTCTAACATTACATGAGTTTTTTTTTTAAAGTGGCATCTCAAGCAGTCATATTAATGATTGTTCGTGTCACAGGCATACATTGGTGTTTTTGAAGGGTTGTTACTGGGTTACTCCCCCTCTTCCTTGCTCAGTCATATTACATCTGAAAACGTTTCAGGATCTCTTCAGGTTTTTCTAATCTTGTACATAATTTGTATTAAGTGTAAGTTAAATGTTTTATTTCAAAAGTGGAATGTCCCCAATAACTTCATTTGGCAGCATGTCTTCTGTCTTGTTGGCATGTAACTAAAGTACCATGAGAAGTATGTGCTACAAATGGGATTGGTAGGTGATGATGCCCTTCATCATTTGAGAATCACAACAAGCATGTTTTTCTTCATCCTGTTCAGTAAATTAGGCCAGACTTTGATGTAACACTTGTATTGAGAACGTGCTTTCATTGTGAAGTGATCATACCATAATAACTAGATACGTAAATTTTATTGCTTAGAAATGGGCAAATAGAAAATCATAAAAGCACTATGAAGATGTTAACTCCTCCTATCCTTATTTCCTGTGGGTTTCTCTTTATTACGCAGCATTCAAGTCTTCTCTCCATCATAAATTCAAGGCTCATTTGCACTTTGACTTTGTTGGTTGTTGCATTTGTTTTTCATTTTGACTTTGCCATGTTTTTGTCTCTCCTTGTAGACCTGCCTGACTCATTTGTATTTGAAAGTATACCCCAGTAGTTCGTTTGTAGTCACAGAACTAGGCATAGACTCATAGGACAAGTTCTGATAGCATGATCTTCCTTTTTAAAAGCCAAAATACAAATTCTGTGCTGTGTTCAGCCTTTTCCATACCTTGAAGCAAGAGTCACAACTGCTGTGTAAATGTGAACCTGTGGCTTCCTACAGTGCATTGCTTACAAGCTTATCTGTTGACTATTTTCATAGGGTTTTTATTTCTGACCACTTATTCCAGTTTCAACACCCACCACCATTTTAAAGCATTGTCTCTGCACCATATTTGTGTACTCTGATGCTCCGTTCTACTTGTTTGCTTTAGTGCTCCGTTGTGTGTGTGTGAAACAGTGTGGTTAAAGGAAGAAATCAATTATAAAGCATATTTAGCTAATAGTAAAATCAGTGCCACTGTCCTTTGAAAATGTGCTTGTATTCTACCACAGGCCTTCATATTTGCTATTCTGTTTGACAAAATTTCTTCTCATGAGATCGTTGCAATGCTGGTTCTTAGCACTAGTGAATACTGCCTCACCTCATCTCCGTTTCAGTGACCAAGGGCAGAATTCATTGTGGCCTTATCTCTGTTTTAAACTGTTTACTGGCATTTACTTGCAAATCTGTTTACCTTTGTATGTGCTATAAAACTTTGTTTTAATTGTGTTGTGGCAGGAATCATTTCACAGTGTTTTTGTTAGAAGCACATAATTATCTTACAATACGGCTTAATACAAGAGCCACAGATTTTCATCACCAATTAGACTGAGAATTAAAGTGATAAATATATATCAGATTCATAGGGTATTCAAGAAGAAACCACAATATACACACAGTAGGCAAACCATAACAAGCCTTTTAACCTTCAAAGACTATTTAAAATAGCTTTTCAGAACTTGACACGTGCTTTTATAATCATTATTTTAAAATTTTTACATATAAATGCAATACTTTTTTATATTCAGTTTCTGTACTTACAGTAATTTTGCCCAATAGATGTAATATTCCTTGACTTGTAAAGAACCTAATGACTTAGCCTAATTTCTGCTGTTCTACACACTACAGTCAAGTGGGTGAAAAAAAGAGACTATTGAAGTTCTGCTTACAAGATCATTTTAAACCCCATTTTACCTTTGGGCTTGTGGCTCCGTTGTTGCCAGTAGTTATTCAGTAGTACAGAAATGGTCTTCCAGGTCCTTACTGTTGTTAAGATGTCCGGTTGTTCAGATATATTATCTTCCTGAACTTTTTCCTGTGGGGTGATATTGTTAGATTTATTGGCCTTGTGAGCTGTTAATCAATTTTCATGCTATTAACAATATCTCAAGATTTTGATAAAACTACGTTTAGAATGTTTCAGTATGAAACTATTATAACTGTTCAAGTCTAGCTGTGTTAAGTCTGCTGTTAATTCTATATACATAGAAATTGAGTCTGTGTTCAGAATGTTGTTATTGTTCCAACTATAGGAAGAAAAAGCATAAAAAGCATATTAAGTGCTCAAATTTAGCAATGCCTTTTTCTACTTTCTTTTGTTTGGAACTGCATTTCAGAATTCAACACTAGCCTAGTCTTTAATAATCTGCTGCTGATGTTTTTCCTAATTATTTGCCCTGAAGGCATCCCACAATTGTGTTAATAATGGTATTCTGTACTTCTTTTCATTGCACAGACTTATAAGATCAGAATGGTTACCTGAAAAGACATGAACTCAAGACATAAATGAGAGGTTTCCCCATATACAAAATTTTAATGCCAAGTGAAACAAATTATCTATTGGAAGTAAGCTACCCACTTGTTGATTGAATGACTCCATTGAGGTGTCCATCTTGAAACTAAGATACTCTTCAATTATTAACCATATTATTTACTTTCTTTCAAAAGCAGCTGTGTTTATGAGTACTGAACAAATGTGTATACTTTCCTGTGCCAGACTTTTGACTTTGTTTTCAAGCACTGTACTGTGGGATTGAGTGGCAGCTTTGTTAGAAAAAGAAGTATATTAGGGTTTCTACTTAACCCTTTTAGGACTGAACGATTTCTTCCCTTTAGATGCTGTAAATTAAATGAGCAGTTCTAACTTTGTAAACATGCTGTGTTCACCACTGCATTTGCCCCATCTGGAGGTGCTATGCTAATGACTTCTTTTTAAATCCTGTAGCATGTGTATACATTCAGTCTTAAAAGGGTTATTTTTACAAACTGTGCACCTGTAAAGTTTCTTAGCAATAAGGTAGAAAAATGAGCAAGTTTTTACCATAATTTTGTAGAATTAATTGCTCAGTTCCATATTTCATCAAGAAAAACCCTGCAATATGGGCAGTTTTGAGGATTAAATAAAAGTGAAATGTAAACCACATAAAAGTGTTTTTTGTCAAGTGTACTCTCTGTGTGTGTATGTGCATATGCTATTGGGTTTCTTTTTTTGTTTTTCCTAAAGAGAAAATGCCATGTTACTGCTGATGTGACAAACATAATTGAACATCTGTACAACAATTTAAAAGTAGTTATGATTTGATCAGGTGTTGAAGCTTACCACGTTTTTGTGGATTTTCTCACTGTTAACCAAGGAATATGGTTTTTATTTTCTTATTTTATTTGTGTGAACAAACAGTGAGGTCATCTGTGGAGCCAGAACACCACAAAAGAAGACCAAGCCAGGAGTGGAAAAGTCATCATTAGTTGTGAGGCTGTGCACACTGGACTCCACTTAAACAGGATATGGAATGTCCACCCAAAAATCTAAATCGGTTTCATTACTGCTTGTATTATTGCTGGAGTTAGATAAGAAACTGTTTATTTCCAATAATGTAACAAAAAAAAAACAACCCCAAACAACCAAAAACCAAACCCAAACCAACAACTGGTTCACTTTTTTATATTATTTATTAAATAAGAAAAAAATAACTGTTTAATTGTTTAACTTTAGCAGCTTTATTATTGTAACTAGTATACCTGACTTGTTTCCATCCTTTCCTTAGCTGCGGGCTGTTGATATTTCTTTCAGTTGGTTAATAATTAGAAGTAGAAATTTAGCAAGCAAGTTTCTTTCTGTGACAGAATACTCTGGTAGGGCCATAAGGAGCTTAGGAATTATGCACTCATTTAGTTTGCAAGCACAAGTGACAGTCACTTGAAAAAAGTTTTTGAGATGAGAAGTGGACACAGCAGAGAGAGAATCTGGAATGGCAGAAACCTACAAGTACTAGTTTTGTGTTAAACAAATCCAAGAATCACTAGTTTATCCGTAATACTGTGAAGGGGCCAGACGTGGTTGCTAAGAAAGTGTGGTGAGAGCAAGAGAGATCTCATTGGAAAAAATAGATCATTTGGATAAAGGAAGCATATAACAGATTTTTATTGAGACATCTGCAGAGGTGAGTGTCATTGTTACTGAGGCACATAAAATAGCCAGAAACTCAACACTTGTAGAGCTTCTGCTGTTTGAAACAGGGACAGTATGGCCAGATTACATCTCAAAGTTATTTTTTAAGAACTCTTGCAGTCTGTTTCTGGAATGATAAATTGATTCTTCTGGAACAGAATAGGAATTGGATCTGAGGTTTTGGCAGATGGAGTGGTCATTTGCTAGACTTTACTGTTGGTACAGAAGAAAATCTGTGAGGTGGTGCTGGTCTTAGATGAAGAACTACTGATAGAAAAAAAAAATCTCTTAATCTAAACCTGGCAATTAGCTA